GATTATGATATTATTGTTTATAAAAATTTATTAGGCAATTTTCTAACTTTTCATATATTCTAGACTCTAGATGATTTATTTTATTATTTAATTAACTATATAATTCGCTTAAAGCAAGGATGATTCAAATAACTTTTCAAAAATTTTTATTTATTTTGGATTTTTTAATTATTTATTATTTTTTAATCGAAGAAAATTCAAAATTTAAAAATGTGCTAAAGAAGTTATGAGAAAATTCCTAGAGGTCTTAATTGAGCTTAAGGGCCTCATAAAAATTTGAACTCATTTAGACTTAAAATTTTTTGAAGTTTTTATTTGATTTATTAGCCTTATCTTTATTTCATACTTTAATCTACTCGAACTTAATTGAGACTTCTCGCAAAACTTAGAAATGGCCTCAGAAAGATTCTATAGAATAATTTGAATTTTAATTTAGTTATTATGAATAATTTTGCTTATAAATATATTTTAATGAGAAATTTATTAAAATATATTCTTTTATTTTAATTTCCTTAAATTTTGATTCTTGTTGATTCCAACAGTCATCCAAACTTCAGAAAAAATTATTTTAAATTTTTAAATTCTAGGTTATTAGGGAACCTTAATGAACTAGTGAATTAGGATTTGAGTTTTAAGTGACAAAATGAGCTCAAACTTTTAGGAAAGTTCTTCCATAGGTCGATGATGACCCATAAATAATTACTAAAATTTTGAAGCCATTTTGATTTTTCTTTGATTATTTATAATTTAATGATTTTTTTATAGACCTCTTAAGGTTAGAATTATGCTAATCAACTTCTCTAATTTCAAATCATTTGACGATTATTTTTTTCTAATTTTTTAAGTTTATTATGAGTTCAATGGCATATAGGTAAAATTAGGGTTTTTATTTAGGCTACAATTAGGATTTTAGTTATAAGCAGCCAAACAGAGTACAAAGTTTCATGAAAATTTTTATGTGAGTCAAGAATGGCTTAAGGAAACTTCCTTGAAAATTTCAAGTTGGATTACGACCCAAAGGTTTTTTTTTTTTTTTTGTTGGAAAAAACTTACAACAAGGCCTACACGTTAGCATGATAAAAATTACAAGTCCTACGAGGATTGAATACACGCAAAACAAACAACATTTAAAATAAAATATGATAGGAAAATAAAGGCAAAGCAAACAAGAAAAACAACACCAATCCACGAAAGAAAAGTGCCAAAATCCGCAAGCATTCAGATCATTACCCCAAAAAACAGGTAGGAGCAATCAGAAGACCCACAACCAATCCAAATAGAGAGGAAGAAGCCATCCAAAAGGCTACATCTGCAACACAACAACACCAAGACAGCTCACAAAACCACGGACAAAACAAACTCACTAGAAGTAGCAATAGCTCAATGAATGATCTCCACCAAGAGCAACCAGATTGCCCGAGACCAAACCCAAAAGGGAAATAATACCGGCAAGGACAAGCATAACCAAAGGGAAGGAGGGCAACCCCCCCACAACCAACAAAAAACTCCCTCCACCAAACCAAAGGACTAGGTTGACCTTAACTAACATAGAACTAGGGTTGACTAAATTTCAGAGTAAATAACCTAAAATCTTTATAGAATTAAATCCACAAATCACCAATAACCTCAAGATTATTCAATAAATTTATCTAGTCATTTAGACTTGAAATGAATTCATGGTAATTTCACTGAGTTCGTACTATCCTATCATTAAATGAATTACAATGGATTCAAGAAGACTTCATAGATTTCGAAAATTCTCCTCTAATCTTGAAGGTAAGAGGAACATATGATAAAAAACTTGAAGCCATTTAAGGTTATGAATAATTTTTCAACATTAAAGATTATTAGGTGACCTTTGACATTGAAAATTTATCCAATGCTCATATAAGCTCCATCTCCATATGAAAAAAATAAGAGATTTCTAAGACATCTCAGAGGACTACCATAAAGAATTTGAAGTTTATTTGAGGTGATTAACATGATTAATCACCAAATTAACCCTATACTTTATTTAATCAAAATAGTGCATAAGAACATTTATGGTAGTCCTCTGAGATGTCTAATTAGTCCTCAAATAGGCTATGGAGGCTAGGAAACACTTGGGTTTGCTCACACTCACTCTTGGGGTTTCTAGGAGATCAAGTTTCACATGTGAATTGTGGCCACAAGGGGGCCTACATATAAAGTTTTAGAAATGAACGTGGTTGGAATTCTAGCCAAACCAAGTGGTTTGAGCTAGCATAAATGATTAAGAGTCATCAAATAAGGTTTGTATAAGTGTCTTGGGTCATTCTTAGGGTTGAATGCTAACTGCATTGGTTGTTCCATAAAGAAACTCCTCAGGCTAGGCTAGGTAGTTGGCTGAGGTGGCGAATCTTCTAAAGTGTTCAGGGAGTCTAGGGAATATAATAGGGTTGGCTAATTTGATTTGAATTGGCCTAAATTATAGTTTGACCATTTATGTGTACTTGGGCCAACCTAGTTGGTTCATTTGGGTTAGCCCAAATGGGTTGGGGTACCTAGGGAATCTAGGCTAAGGTCTAAGGGATCTAATGCCAACATTTGGAGAGGTTGGTCTAAGTTTTAAGGGCTTAATCCAAATGAATGCAAGGTGAATACCCATAGAGGTATTTTGTCTATTTTGACCTTTTCATGCTCAACATGGGTTGACTAGGAGTAAGGGATGATTTTAAGTGATCTTTAAACATATTTGGATCACTTAAACTTAAACCCACTGTCAAATGGTAAAGGTTTAGTTAAAAGCTCTTTAGATAGAGGACTTAGGGTAATTTTGAGAATTTTAGTTTTTTTATGTCAAATTATGATCAACAAAAGTTGTTCATGAGTCTGAAATGAGTCAAATTAGTCCTTGAGGGTGTTTGGATAATTTTTATACTCAAAATTTAGAGTCAAAAGACTGGGGTTGAACCAAGTTAACATAAGGACTAAGCATAAAGCTATTTTTGGATTCCCATGGTCAAAAAGGATTGACTATAGGCCAAGCATGGTTCTAAGTGACTTTAAAGACTTTTAGAATCACTTGGTACCAATGCAAATTTAAAACCAAGGGTTAAGCCCTAAGGATAACAAAGGTAGGCTCTATAGTGACAATTTGGTAATTTTACCCTTGTTTGATCAAGGGATTGAGCAAGTATTGGGAATAGTTAAAAATGTTCCTAAAAAAAATTTAAGATTACTTGAATTCAATTCCAAGGTTTGGTTTTGAGATTTAATCTATGAAGCCAGTATAGAACACCTTAGGGGTATTTTGATAATTTTACCACTTTTGATCAAAAAAAAGTTGATCACTAAAGGAAATGTATTTCAAAATATTCAAATGTGAATTAAAAATCATTTAAAATCCACCACCATGAGCAAATCACAATAATTGGGCACTTCAACTAATCTTAGAGTTTCTTTAAGGTTTTGGTCAAACTTAAGTCAAACATGGTCAAAGACATTTACATTGGGTCAACCTATAGGCAAATAATTCCTAAGATTGATTAAGAGTGTTTGATCTCAAATTTTAAGCGAAATGACCACTTTATCTTTCTAAGGATTTTAAGGATTTTGAGTTTTACCTTAATCAAACTACGTTTGACCAGTGGCCAAAGGGGCAGACCAATATTCCTTGATCCATGGAATCAGTTCAAGAATAAGTCTAGATTTTCCTGGTTCAATCCTAAGGTCATGGATTACTTAGGATGGAACATAAGGTTTAACATATTTTGTAATTTAAAAGCTTTTATAGTTTGAACTAGGTTTTAATTTGATAAGCCCATTAGCTACCTATATCACTAAGGTTTCGTTTGATTGGAAGTTTTTGATGCTTATTCCGTTTTAAAACGACAAATTCATTTCTTCTTTACTGTTTGGTTCGTCAAATCAAATTTCCAACAACTCCGTTTGTTTCATTTTTCTGCTGTTTTGAAAAAGTTTTTTATATATATTTCTCCGTTAGAAAACTCCATTTTATGAGCCAATGTTTTTTAAAACTGTCTTTTTACTAAAGTACCAAAAAACCAAACGAAGCCTGAATCACTAAAAGGGTCCAAAGAAGTTCATGGGGTTTATAGGGCTAGAAAATGCTAGGTCATGGATTCCATAAAAAGGTTGTAAGAATGATTTCTGCACTAATCTAATTTTTTTATAACTAACCTAATATCCCTTAATCTAATTTTTTTATACTAATCTAAACCTACAACTAAATTTAACTTAGTCTTAACTCCCAGTTCCCCTTCTCAAAGGTCTCATATTAGGTGGTTGACCTCAAAGCTAGATTAAGAAAGACCTTGACCCAACATTAGTTCAACTTGACTTATGCTTCGTTTGAGACGACTTTTTTTATTAATTCTTAAAATAGAATTTTATTACAAGAAACTCCATTTGAAGAAGCAACAAAAAAATCGTCTCAAATGAAATCTTAGACTACATGCATTAGCTTAATCCATGGCCCCATATTAAAACTCTACCCTAGCAAACCTCATACTATATTAGATAGACCTTTAGATGTTCAAAATCTACACATAGCCCAATGTTTGCCCTTCATAGTACTTATAATCATGACCTTAAACAGCTTAACTCAAGCAATCCTAGGCTCATCATGATTAGACCCATGTTGCGATTGAGTGGTTTATAGAACCCCTTAGTTGTCTTAAATTGAATTTGACCTTGACTAGACCAAGATTAATCAAAACCTAGCTTAATTAAACTGACAATTCTTTTATGATAGCAAAACTATAATTAACATTCAAATGACAACAAAAAATGAAGATTGACGTCATTTCTTCAAAAAGAAGCTTGAGAGCTTATGTGCTCAATTAAAAAAAAAAAGTAGATGTTCTAATAAAACTGCTGCACGTGCCAACTTTAACTGGCTAATATTTACAACCAAATTTGGGAGAGGAATATTCATATTGACCACTCACTTTCATATATGGAAGAATCTAAAAATCTCCCTCAAATGGGAAGATCTTTATGTTTCAAACAAATAGACATTTTACAAAAACGTCTTATTTATTTAATTTAGGAAGTTCTTTAATTATTATCAAGTACTGCTCAAGCTATAAAGTTCTGCCTCATTGGAAAAAAAACAGAAGCAATTTTAATTCTCATTACAATATATTGTTCCTCTTAGACCATAAGAGAAATTAATGTACCGGCTGTACATGTCTACTCTCTACAGCTTATAATACAAAACAGCACTACATCATATCGGGAACAAGATTAAATGGATAGTAACCAGCGGAGTAAGCGACAGATGATATGAGGTTCTTAATAATAATATCATGGATGGGTGCAACTTACCTGAATGCAACGCCATTTGCATTTTAAAGGAAGAGGATGATAATTAACTATTGTGTAGATTCCAAGAAGGAAGCTAGAAAGAAGTGTCATGACTAATCAATCAGCGAGCTTCTGCAAAACTTTCCAATACCTCAAACAAGAAGGATTCAAATGTACTGCTCGAAGAACCCATCTCAAAGGGCTCTGGTATGATTCTATGTTTGTTTGCGGGTCACAAGCTGCAGTAGACTGTCTTGCAAGGATGTGCATCTGAAAGTACAATTCAGCAGGCCTCATTTCTGCAAATTAAACAAATTAGTCAGTGAAAGCTGAATTAGATTTCGGTATAGATGAAGGTTTCGTTTGGGACAGCTTTCTAAAATGACTTTTTAGTATAAAATTTTCTTATATCAAGAAATTTTTGTACTAGAAAGCTGTTTTAGAAAGCAAAAAAACTGTCCCAAACGAAGCCGAAGTGTAGAAGAGATATTGAAGCTAAGAACCTGCTGGCCAAGAAAACCATTCAAGACGAAGATTTCTTTCCCACTTCGCTTTTGATCCAAGGCTTCCCTCTACTTGAGCCAATAATGCTGAAAGAATAGGTAAAGGAAATGGTGAAGTCACCTGGGCCTTGACCAGATGCTGTAAAGCACGTGATAAAAACTGCAAACCCATTTGTTGCCTAGCAAGCTCCATGCACACGGCACCTGTAGAAACATCATGGAACACCGTGAAAAGCTATAACTAAAAGAGTTGAGATATGGACTTGCAAACATTCTTTAGCAAAATGGCGGTGATTCGGAAAAGAAATAGAAAATGCTTTACTTAAAATTCACGAGAGAAGTATCAGGATGAGCATGAAAGTATTCCAACCATCTAATTCAACTTTGCTGAATAAGTTCATAATTTTAACATTAATCTATGTATGGTAGAACCAGTATAAACTGCTAGTCTGCTAGAGCACACAAAAAGATTAGAAGTAAATGGGTCAACAATGCGTCATTGAGACTAGACCTGGTTTAAGTATCAACAAACCTGGTAAGAAGCAACAAACAATCTTCGTTTGGGACGGCTTTCTTACTGCTTCTTAAAGCGGCTTTTTAGTACAATTTTTTCATTTTTTGTACTAGAAAGCAGTTTTAAAAAGCTGGAAAAAAGTCGTCCCAAACAAAGCCTAAAAGCACACAGTTCTTGCAACAGCATATTAGTAAAAAAAATTTAATGCTAATAAAGGAGCTAATGTATAAGCACTAAAAACAAATTTTCTAACAAAATCACAAAAAAGGAAAAAAGATATTATAAACTACCAAGAAAAGTCATTAAATTGATACCATGAGCAAAAAAAAGGCAGCTTTCTTCTTTGGAAATGGAACATGCATGTGCTAAAGCTTGTTCTGCACTGATAAAATCATTATCCCATATGAAGCATAGGGCCGATACTAATCCAAATACAGCCACCCACATGTTAGAGGAACTAAGTTTTGATGTGAAGCATATCTTATAATTCATATCAACTGTGTTACAGCCATTCTGCAATTTATACCTAGATTCAAGGTATTTCAGGGAAAGCCAACCAATTTGATTGACTGTATTAAACTTTAAACAATTCATGTACTCATTACGGAGGTTTTCCAAATCTTCATGTGCTGCATAGGCACGACATAATTGCAAGTGCGCAAAGAAGGAATTGTCATTGGATGGAAGAAGTTCTAATGCAGTGGCCGCATAGTTAGTGCAGTCAGAATAATCCTGACATTGCAAACTGATCTCTGATGCAGATAGTAGAAGTAGAAACCTCTGATACTTAGTTTCATTTATCATAGAGAGAGCAATGGAAATCAAGCGTTTCAAACCAATACAAAGATGTGGGGGGAACTTTTCTTCACGTGCTCTCTGCAGAAGATTAAGTATAAGAAGATAACGTGCCTCATGGTTCCATGGTTCTTGATGCAACCATCTGAAAAAGAAGTGGCATTTAAGTAATTGCAACCCCTGTCAGGAATAGCTGAAAAAAAAAAGGAGAAAAGAAAGATGTAAAAAAGGACAAAACTTGCTTTTGCAGATGGTCAGTCACAGTTGACCCATGCATAGGCTGGCATCGGCAGGCAGGGAAAGAAAACTTCGGCCTTGTTACACAGCTAGCGTAACAAGAAACTCCAGCCCCTCCATGGATTTCAAATGGTGATTTTAAGCCGGTCCTTACAGGGTACCCTGTCGGTAAAACCGTGCATCTCGGTGCTATATGTGAAGCCAACCAGTCTCCTGAATACAATATAAGTGATCCAAGATGGTTTCTGTAATTACAACCCAAAAAAAAATATATTGTAAACGTATGAATAGCAAAAGAATGATTCATAGAAATCATTACTTTAGTATAACTAAGAACAGAGGTTTCAAAATGTTAATGGCCCAAGCCGTATGATTCAATGGAATATCCTATTTGAATGTCATGCCCATATGGGATCCTTTGATTAAATCCTAGTGCGAGAATACATGAGTCAAATTCCTAGGTGCAAAGTTGAAAATAGAAAAAAAAATAAATAAATAGAGGCCCACCCCACTCATACAAAGGTCTTGTCCATTTCCCATGATCATAGATTCTGAGTAAATACAAATACTTCCACATTCAGATCTATGCCAACTCAAATTTTGGTAAAAAACCAACGAATTGCTGAAGCGTCTGCTTAATCTGACTTGACGCCACCTTTCAGGAAAAAATAATGAGCTATAAGTTTCTTATGTTGTACTTCAATGTAATTGGAAATTATAGATCAAATATTAGTGCTGCATCATTCTACGATTAAGATAAGCATGAACTAATTAGCTAATGATATTTAACCAAACCACAGGACAAAGACATAAAGAAATAACTTAGGGTTCTTGCACATTAGTATATAATTGAAACTCCTGGATAAAAAATAAAGATCAATCATCACTAAGATGGAAATTCGGGGGACAACAAAATTACCAATGCTCTTTTTCTTTTAGAAATAGAAATGGACGGTGTTGGATTCAAATATATCCATGGATGAAACCTGATCATACTAACACGCAAGTTGAGAAGCCTCAAATTTGAGAACCTGGGGTTGGAAAAAGAAGAAATGGTTGGCATTAGGAATGGATGTGTCTTTTACCTTAACTCATATGTCTCGGGGTGCGTCCCCTTGTGTTGAGTACCCACAAATGAGTGGATGTAGACGAGTCCATTGATGAGGGTTGAACTAAGAAGGTTGTTGCCGACAAGTTCTATAAAAGTGTTGGCCACCTTTTAGATGGAGGTCCTAGATCGCTTCGATGTGTGAGGCGAGTATATTCAAGTTATAGGGGCAACATATTCCATGGTTAGCTTAGTGTGGCGAGTCCTCTTAGGAAGGTACTTCTTGTAGTTTGGATGATTGATGTCATTGATTACACTTTGCACTAAATTGCAGCGAGCGAGTTCGATGGGAGCTACTCACTAGGGAGCGAGCCTCGATCTAAGTGTTATGTATGAATCCTTAGCTTTCCTATGAGAGGTGACTTCCCTATGATAACTTTGCCAAGTCAGGGTCACCCTTAGGTGAGTATTCATTGTTGTGACCAACGAAAAATGAATTCACCTATTAAGATCTGCTAATGACCAATTGAATACCAGAAAAGACATACAAGTGTACAAACTGCAGTAAAACATTGAAGAGGAAATTAAATCTAGATATAGTTATGTAATTTATAAAATAACCTCAGAAATTTAAAAAAAAAAGTTATATGAAATAAAAAATTAAGAACAAAACATAGAGTCCTCTTCCAATCATCAAAATAGAGTAGAACTGAAAGGGTAATATTGAACATGAAATCATTAAAGTATGCAATTAGAACATTACAACAACAACAACAACAACATCAAGCCTTTATCCCACTACATGGAATCAACTAAATGAATCCTTTTTTCTCCATTATATCCTATTAAGTGTCAAATCATTTAAATCTTATAAAAAAATTCATTTGAAATAATTTTTTAACCAAGTTCTTTTAGGTTTGTCTCTACCTTTCTTAACATAAGTCAAATCTAATACAACGACTCTCCTTATCGGATCATCGGAAGGATGACGTTTTATGTGACCAAACCATCTAAGGCAACCCTCTCTAATCTTATCTGCCAATTGAGCTACTCCAATCTATCACGTATATGCTCATTTTGCATTCTGTCTCTACGAGTAAAGCCACTCATTCACCTATGCATCCTCATCTCTACAACAAGTAATATTATGCTTCTCTTTTAATAGCAAACATTCTGCACCATAAGGCATTGCAGGTCTCCCCTTAAGTTTAAGAGGTACTTGTCTATCACACCACAAGCCCGATGAATTCCTCCACTTCAACCAACCAACTTGATTTTTACTTAAAATATCCCCATCTATTTCACTATCACTTTGAACAATAGATCAGAGATATCTAATTAAAAAGTGTAATCTTATTAATGACTTGATCTCCCAAACTCAAAATCCCCCAACTAAATCTATTACAACTAAAATTACACTAAATGTATTTAGTTTTAGATCTACTCAAACAAAAAACTTTACTCTAAGGTTGACCTCCACAATTAAAGTTTAAATTCAACTCCCTCACTAATATTATCAACAAGAAGAACATCATCAACAAAAAGTATACACTAGGGTGCATCCTCAAACATCCTATTGCAAATGTCTAAAAAGAACGTCCATGACTAAAGCAAAAAGATATGGGCCTAAAGTTGATCCTTAATGTAATCCAACTGAATAGGAAAATACTTGGTTAAACCTTGTGTTTGAACCATAGTTTAAAATTGCGTAATAAGAGGCGCGCCTCTGCGCAATTCTACCCCAAAGAGCCTCATTGCTTAAGCAATTTCGGGTCTGGGTGAGGCTTACGCCTCATGGATCCTAAGGCGCGCCTTAGAGGCTTAATTACGCAATTTCGGGTGAGGCTTACGCCTCATGGAGCCGGGTCCCACACACTTCTTGGAAAAAAAGCAATTTCATCAATTTCTTCTTTCCGCCTACCCGAACTGAACGAAAGAGCTCCGCAAGCCACAGTCCGCATGCCCTAGCTTCAATTGGCCGGCCTTCCCGCCGGCGCCGCCTCACGCCGATGAGCAACTTGAGTCTGACCGCCCTCTACGACACCTCTACTATGGATTTTTGGTATTTTTTTTTTTTAATTCAAGGTTTGATTTTTAAGTTATAGAAAATCTAGGGTTTAAAATTTTTTGAGATTTTTTATTTGATTTTACATTTGTGCATTAGGAAACATGGTTAGGGGAAAGGAAAAGTCAAATAAGTCATTGCGGAGGGATCCGTCTTGGAAGTACATTGTACAGGTTGAGTTAGGCGGCAACGAGAAGACATACGTGTATTTGAAATGCAATTTTTGTGATGGGACATGATTGTATTTTAGATGCTCTTTCTTATTTGCACTTTGGGAGTTTTGATTTTTGATAGACTTCAAGTTGCGATTTTGTACTTTGAATTATGCTCTGAGATGCATATATTGCATCTATTTTATTGTTTTCCACTAAGTTCACTTCTCATTTAGATATTTTTATTGTATCATAGACTTTTACTATTATTTACCTGCTAGAATACTTGAATTCTCATTTAAGCAATTCTTCGTCCGTGAGGCTTACGCCTCGCACCGCCTTGAGGGCTTACGTCTCGCCTCACGGACGAAAAACATCTCGAGACTTATTTACGCAATTTTAAACCTTGGTTTGAACATAAGTAACAACTCTTGTATACATATCCTTAATGGCTTAAATATAAGCATTATTAGCCTCTTTCTTTTTTTAAACTCTCCATAGCACTTGTAAATTTATCATATGTTTTCTCTAAATCAATACATATTATATGTAGATCCTTCTTATTCTCCTATACTTCTTCATCAAACCTCTCAATAAATACATAGCTTCCATAAACCTACCTAGCATTAATTCAAATTGATTTTGAGAAATATCAGTATAACAGCGTAACCTATGCTCAATAACTCTCTCACATTATTTTAAAGTAGACACATTTGTTGCAAATCTGAATTATAATTTTGATGATAGCAAACATTTCTGGCATTTCTATTTTTCTACTATTGCCCTGCCTACTAATGTTTCAGGTCCACAAGATCAATTGCAAATTAAGCCAGCTCAAGATTGGGTAGATTAGGACTGAGTCAGTCTGCAAGTGTATCTAGTATTTTTACTTTTTCTTGAGTCAAATGTAATTTGGTGGATCCTGCTGCTAAGTAAACTTACACACACACACTCAGGGGGAGAAATTCTGTAGGCTTAAGAGTTTTTCTTTTTCTGATCACATCATACAGGACGATCCAAAATCGTCCTGAATGATCAGTTAAAAACAAGAAACCCTAATTAGGGCATCCTTGTTAAGGCAACCGAATTAAGCAAATCATCATGGACGATATTAACATCGTTCTGAACGATATGCTCAAATCAGAAAGAATCATCCACCAACTCTTTTAAGCATGTTATTATTTTTAGACATCGTACAGGACATCGTCCTGGACGATGCATTACAATTATGCCTAAATTAGTCTGATGATTAAGGAAAGCAATTAAGGTTTGATTGATCGATCATATCGTCCTGGACGATCAGTTAAACAAACCTTGGTTTCTTCCTGAATCGTCCGGACGAACAGAACGATGTGCTGGACGATATTTATTGATTTGAACTAATCATACAGGACGATCCTATAATTGACCTAGACGATTGGTTATTTTTTTTATCGTCCAACATAAAGTTTGGCCGAACAGAGCGATGGTCTGGATGATACTTGATGTTTTGTACTAATCATATAGTATGATGTACGCACCGTCCTGAACGATCAGAATAAACAAACCTTCTAATCGTCAAGCCCCTCCCAGATCGTCCTGACTAAATGAGCTGAAAATGAACTGATCGTACAGGACGATCTGGACGATTTTTGTCGGTTAATTGCAATTTAGGGCAAATTTGAAGCCCTTCTATATAAGATCTCTTGTTTACTAAAGATTGCATCTTTTGCTGCTGTCTTGACATGAGAGAGCCAAAAGAACAAGAGGGAGAGCTTGGGAGAGAGAAAGAGAGGATCTTGTGAGGGGGAGTTTGTGAGGGGTTCACAAAGGTTGGTCCAAGCAAGAATCCGAGTCGTCTTCTCCAGTCATCGTCCCTGGTTCCTTAGAGATTCTAGAGAGGTCTACTTTAGCGATCGATCGAGGTTCTATGCCTGCTTCAGGAGGAAGCGGATGGAGGTCGAGGTTTTCTGACTGCTTCAGGAGGAAGCGAAAGGAGGT